TTAAGAATAATTCATGTTTGTCCTGTAAATAATCCATCAATTTGCCAAATCAGCACACTTAATGTATTTACTTAGTTAAAATTGCATGTTTTGCTTATATTCACGTGAAAAGAGAGATCTGGAGTCCAAAAAAATTCAGATTATATTGCTTTTTAAAGTAAATTCAACAACATGGAAAGGAACTTGGAACTAGATAAACCCCAGTATAGCTTGATAAAGAACACCTATATCTGAATAATCTAATTTAACAAAGTTCAAGATTGATATATGTGAAAGATTTAGGAAAAGACAAATCATTTAAAGTATATTGATTTTAAAAAGACATTTTGTTACACAATATTATATGCCAATATAATATGTACTAATTAATGAGGAAAACCTGGCTTAGATATCATATACCCACTAGGCCAGTGGTTCTCAACCTTGGCTGCACATTAGAATCACCTGGGAATCTTTTTAAAATCCTGATTTCTGGGCCTCATCCTCCAGAAATTCTGTTTTTTTGTTACTAATGTTGTGGCCCCACCCCATAACAAAGAAACAGAATTTCCGGAGGATGAGGCCCAGAAATCAGGATTTTAAAAAGATTCCCAGGTGATTCTAATCTGCAGCCAAGGTTGAGAACCACTGCACTAGCTAGGCTAATATATAATTGGCTGACTAATAATGTTCACAGATTTTCCTCATCTTTGCTCAGAGATTGAAAAGATAACAGGATTTCATAAAAGCTGATGTTGAAATCTTGGTTGTATTTATATCGTTTATTCATAATCTAGAGCATATCTTCAAACAATCCCAGAATTCTCTATAACTGGATAAATTGGGCTTAATAATGATAATGAGATTTAATAGAGAAAAATTCAAGGGAAAGATTTCACTTAAATGAAAAAACTACAAAGATACATTAGAGAGAATAATTGGTAATACACCTAAATGAATTCAAGGTCATCTTTTCTTTGAATTTTATTATACTTATTGTCTGGAATATCTATTCTTTTATTATAGTTATGTTGCATTAATCAAGAAACTTTTCATGTACTTATCATTGAAGCCTTTAAAAATATTTCAACTCCATTGTAGCAGAAATCATTTTTACTATCTTATATTTTACATTATATTAATTTCAAAGAGACAAAATAATGTTCTGCTGATTATGTTGGGAGGGTAGTTGTTAGTATGAAAGACGTGCTCAAGGTACTGAAAAAAAATAAATAGTTGATATTACAGAAATAAAGGAACTTGTTCAACACAATCTCATTTGCAAAAAGAGAGAGAGAGAACCAAGATAAAAATTACAATAAAGGGATACACAGAGAAAGAGTAGCTAATAAAATGTCTGAGAAATGATAGTTAAGGAGGTAAAAAGAAAACTAAAGTCAAGGGTTTTATGAGACAAGGATAGAGAATGTATAATGAGACCACCATTGCATAAGAGAATAATGAAAAATCATCAATTAAGTTCCTGAAACAGGATGGAACCTTGGTTAGAACAAATATAGTGCTAAGCACATAGGAAGTTCTAGAACTGGTTTTGAACTCAGCCTCAGTGTCAAATGTTCTTTGACAAGGAGAAAGTGGAGGTCATTAATGTTAAAAATATAAAATAATTAATATAAATCCTTCAAAACAAATTTCAAAGAAAATGTTTGCAGATCACACCTCAATAAAACTAGGGGATATATTTGTGTATGTGTGTGTGTGTGTTTGCCTGTGTATAAAACAATTATATACATCAAACATATGAAGAATTTAAAATATTCTACAAATATAACAAATACAAAGAACCTTTGGACAATGGAAACAAAACTGTTATTAGAAGATTAGAAAACAATTACCAGCCCCATCAAAACTAAGGCGTGACCATTACCAGGATCAAGGCAAATGCAACATTGAGTTGAAAACAAAGGAACTAAGCATTGAATTTAAAAAGCTAGAAAACAAAAATAAAACAAACCTAGTGAAAGAAGTTGAAAGAGAAGGCAGAAATTAATACACTTGAAACTAGAAAAATTAAATTAGAATTAATTTAAGTATATAAGAGCTGAACTTTTGAAATATAACGGTAAAATAGACACATTTTTAAATAATCTAATCAAATAAAAAGTAAAGACTGCTATTTGGAAACCCAGGAACAGGTGAGATTTTAAAAATTACAGTGCTAGGGCATAATTCTATGAACACATAACAAAACCAATAAGATGAACATTCTTTTTCCTAGAAAAGTTGAGACTATCAAAATTGACTTAATAAAGGAACAGAATCTAAATATGCCAATAAACATGTAACCAATTGAAATACTCATTTAAAAAGCTAGTCTCTGAAAAGGCATGAAGCTCAGATGGTTTTAGCAGAAAATTCTTCATAACCCTGAGAAGGAGCTGATATTCTTGTGTTGTTTAAATTGTTAAAAAGCCTGGAAGAAATGGAAAGTGTCACAATTCATGTTATCAAATTATGTTGCTAGTCTCTAGATATATGCCCCTACTCAGCCCTAAGCATTTATGATAGAAATCAGTTGGTCGCCTTGAACGATTCTCTCCCTCTTTTGCAAAAGCGCCTCTGAAGAGATTCTTCCAGGTGGAGATCAGTTTTTACTGAGAGGGAAGAAAAGAAGAAATTCCTCAAACTGGTGAGAAAGGAGAGATTTATAATTCCCTAAAACCTCAGGGGCCTGCACTCTGCTCTGGCATCATCTAAGAAGCAGTAAAACCTCCGAGAGAAATGGCAGCTTGGGGATCTAGGACAGAACAATAGGTGGCTTGGGAGCAACTGAGGAGCAGAGATGACTGATGACAAGGGTTTCCTCCAATGCCTGGGTGCTTTGTAAGACCAGAGAAACTGTGCTGCCTGAGTCTAATCGGAAAGAGACCCGAGAATAACTGACACTGAATTTCCTGCCAACCCAGGGGCACATGGACTTGAAGTTGGAATTAAATTGATTTAAAAGTAGTAAAAACGGTGATGCTTCTTAGTTTGTGCATCAAGATCATACCCTCCGCATATAGATTGTTTAAAATCTTAAATACATTCCGGGTTAATTAAATCCAGGAGAATGCAAAAAAATCAAGCAGGCTTAATTCTACAAATATAATAATGGCTTTTTCAAAAGTCTACTTATATAATTGATCAAGTTAATAGCCAAATGTTAAAATTATGATTATATTTATAGCTGCTGAAAAAGAATTTGAAAATTTCAGCATTCCTGAGTTTTAAAAAATTTTGATTAAACAAAAAGCTCCAATGAAATTTGTTTAAAAAGGGGCACATGCCTCTCTTATGATACATTCTTTCACACAGTATTGTTTTATTTTCATAACAATTCTACCCTGAATTTTGGACATAAAAACTTTACCCTGAAAGATTAAAAAACAGAACCAAGATCATACAGATTTAATGATGAAGTTAGTATGTAGGAAGTCTATTTCTTTGCGGACTTACTATGCCATAAAATTACATTGTCAGGCCTGCTGGTGTGGCTTGGTGGTTGAGCATGGACCCATGAACCAGGTCACGGTTCAATCCAGGTGCAGGCTAAATCCCCAGTGTGGGGCGTGCAGGAGGCAGCCAATCAATGATTCTCTCTCATCATTGATGTTTCCATCTCTCTCTCTGAAGTCAATAAAAATATATATATATATTTTAAATTACATGGTCAAAATGATAATAAATGAAAAAGTGAAGAATTAATCTAAATACCGGACTCTGGATCCAATGCTTCCATTACTGGAGTTGGGTCTGTCTCTCCCTCGAACTTACACACTCTTCCACTACAGCCTTGCCTCCCGGCTCAGCTTTCCTGGATATCAACATTGTGCTTACAGCCTATGACAGGCTCCATGAACCTGTTTTGCATGAATAAATGAGCATTTTGAGTTGAATCTGTGTGTGTGTGTGTGTGTGTGTGTGTGTGTGTGTAGGGTGGCGGGGGCGGGGGGGGGGCAGTGATATTGAAATGTTTAACTTACAGGACATTGTATCAGTTGATCAGAACAGGCACCAGCCAGAAACAACCATCACGATTTTATCCGTGTGTCCTGGTAGTCACCAGGCCTGGCCAGACCCTAATTTTCTCCTCTCCCATGAAAATGCCATTGGAGTCCCAGCTGCATCTGACCTAGTGGTGGGTGCCAGACGCGCCCCATTTCTTCCGTGGAACCCACCCCCACCCCGAAACAGCAGCTGTCTCACGACCATGGTGTACGGATTCATATGTGTTCAATAAAGTCTATATCTTGAGACATAGAATTTGTCGTGAGAGGCAAACAAATACTAAGGGAATTAGTGTCTCTTTAAGTAGTTGGGTATATAAGTAATTGTCCTAACTCGCTGGTCAGTATTTTCCAGGTTTTCTGGACATGCACAGGGAAACCCTGTAAAGAGGAAAACCTCGATGCTAAACTGCGGAGGGAAGGAGATGACGGGCAGCCTTGGTTCCTCATCTCAACTCTTGCTCGCTAGCTCTGTTCCTGCAGGCAGCAGGCAGGGTGCCACCAGGGGAGCAGCACCCACGGCGCATGGTGAACATTAATAAGCGGAAACCTCATTTAAAGCGGAGGCCGGAGGATGGAGGAGAGACCTCTCACTCACCTGCCACTCAGCGCGGGAAACTGCACCGGCATCTCCAACAGAAAGTGGTATTTCTCTATTGCAACTGCAGGAGGAAGAAAACATCCTCCTGGCCCAGTAACAGCCCAGCCAATGGGAGGCTGCCATAGTTCAGCCAATGAAAAGCCATCATACTTCTGTTCCTCCAATGGACTCTTTGTTTACAAAAGCCCCTCCATAAAAAGAGATTTTCTCTCCTAAGTTTATCTGGGCTGCTGCATAGTTCACCTTTTGCTAGGTTGCTGCAATTTTTTGTTGATCCCCAATCGACCCATGTTGTCCGGCTGACTATCGGGTAACACTACGTCGGTATATATTAAGGAATTTATTACAGAGTATTTGCTCACCTAATGATGGATGCTGGCTAAGGAGTCAACACATGGGGGCCTGGACATCTAACAGGCGAGAGCCCCAAGTTCCCCGAGAAGAGGAGACCACAGCAGAGTAGAACCCCATGAGAAGAGCTGTAACTCCACAGGGGTGCACTGAAGCCTGTGTCCATGCTTGTTGCTTCTGACTTTGCAGTATCTTGCACAAGCTGAACCCTTCTTCAAGTCGTTGAACCTGTGTCCGACACAAATACGTCCCAGAATTAAGACAATTTGAAAGATTCAGGAGTGAAGGAGGTAAGTCAGCCGATTGGCAGCAGCTGATGTGTCCTACAAAACAGCTGCTGCCTTCCTTCCTCTCTCCAGCTCTGGAGAGAATCTTCATTATCTCTGACCCTAATGAAATGTACCCTTAAAGGGGATTCTGGGAAACAATTCAGCCCAGCCAGGTGGACCCATTACAAAGCTGTTAATTACATTGTGGCACTAACACAGATGAGTCCTTGTTGCTTGTAACAACAAATCCCAACTTATGCAGCAGAGAAATGGAAACTGGGAACTGAAATACAGTAGGAAAGAAGATATGTGGAGGCCCCAGAATCAGATCACAAATGATAATACTCGAATAATAAAATGTTTTATAGTTTAATTTGCAACAAAATATATTCAAATGATTCTACAATCCTAAAAATTACCAGAGGGCAGAATTAACCTGGTGGGCTTGTATTGTATTTCCTAAATCGTTTGGAAAACAGGGCAAATATCCATTTGTTGGAGAGGGTGATAAATGGAAGGTTGGCGGTATCCTTTATTTTAAATACAATAGTTGAAGTAGGTGACTTTTCAAGATTCTTTCCACCTACATCATTGTATTGTAAACCAAAATTGTTCAATTGCACTTATTCCCCTGGCTTTAATTAGCTTTTTCATATTAAGACTCTTTTGGTCTAACAAAACATACCCATGACTTGTTGGCTGGTGCAAGTGTTTTCCATGAAATGCCACAGGAAAGAAAAAAAAAACTTTCAAGAATAACTGCTTCCAAAATTTGACTTGGAACAGATATGCAATACCTCCGCTGCTTATGAAAAGCATACATGATCTGACTCTAAAAAAAAGCTTCTTGATTTAGGTAAAATGACTCAAGGTTAAACTTTAAAACTGAATAAAAGCCGAGCCTATCAAACTCTCCCAATTGGCCTAGACAGCCCTTGTACTGGACCAGGTTTAAGCCGAGGGAGGATGTCTTTGTTTGATACAGTTTGCCTGTATTTTCTGAGATATTCTGCCCCCACCTCTCAACTCCCAGTTCATACCAACCACAGATCACATTAATTGCTACTAATTATACAGTATAAAAAGATACCATTTGGACGAACACATTCATACAGCCTTGCTCTGTCCTTAATTTGGTCTTCTCAGGAGAATGCATTCATTGTGTGTGTGTGTGTGTGTGTGTGTATTTAAAAGCAAGAAAGGGAATATAATACATAGATATTTGTGGACTTGTCACCTTTTAATTATATTATGTCCATTGGGAAAATACAGATAGAAATAAATAATTAAAAGCACCAAAAATTGAGCAATCATAGTTCAGTGTCTATCTTTTCACATATCCATATATTTTACATGATACTTACTAGTATGTGTATAGATATATATTAATGATATATATATAATTTATATGCAAATATGTATGTAAATTATATGTATATGTATCCCAAAAATGTATACACATATTTTGAATAATTATAAAGGCAGTGTTTATTAAAATACATTTCATTTTCAAAATTGAGCTATCATCTATTAAAGTGTGTATACATGTTGGGGGGACACCCTGTTTATGTAATTTCATGCATCACATCAGTTAAGCTATTTGGAATATGGAGCATGCAGATCATTTCAGTGCCCTTTTTTGGGTTTTGGAAAAGGAAGTTGAATACTCCTCTCCCTCTCCCTCAACCACACTCTTTGAAGACATGTGGGTTGGTGAAATTCCACAATGTTTTATGGGCCTAAGTTCCAGAGGCTTGTGAATTCACTAGGCATTTTGTGGAACCTGTAGGACTTGGTGGTTTCTCAGTGCTGGAGAAATGAAACCTCTCTCTGGCTCCTGCCTTTTCTGAGAATTCTCCGCCATCTGAATTTAGTACAAAATAAAAAATGCCCACAGATGCCACATGTGCCCAGTCTAAGTAGGCCTGAGATGGGTGCCTGGGACCATCTTTGCCTATACATTGGCACAACCCCCCGAAACCAATTTGGGACCTTATGGATTTTAACCCAAAGCGTCCCTAGTTTACTTTATCTTGTTCTGCAAAGATGGAGTGCAATGGTAGTTTTTAAATATGTAAACTAATACACATATCTTTAAAATTTTTAATTTTACTATTATTTTTAATCCTCACCTGGGGATATTTTTTCCATTGATTTCTAGAGAGGGTGGAAGGAAGGGAGGAGGAGGGGAGAGAGAAATAGAGAGAAATATCAATGTGAGAGAGACACATTGGTCAGGGCTGGGGAACTGGCAATTGAGGTACATGCCCTTGACCAGGGATCTTTGACCCACATCTTCTTTAAGTACTCTGTCTGCTCTTCGAGGTAGAGGATCACTTTGGTACCCCAACCAAGAAGCTCACTGTGGTGAGGTTGTCTAGTGAAGAAACTCCCAACAGAAGTCTTCCAGGCATACTGCTCATCATCACTGTGCTTTGTGATTGCAACCACTTTCTCTGCCACTAGGTAGGCAGAATAAAAGCCATCACCAAATTGTCCAATCATGGAGACGTCCGAACCAGCCTGAAGACCACCCCTAACTACTTTTGTACCAGACTTGGCAATGGCTCCCAGAGTATTTATGAGATGAGCTTTGGTCATGCCAATGCCTGTGTCCACCAGAGTCAAGGTGCATGCCTGGGGGTTTGAGATGATGTCAGTTTTCAGCTATTTTTCACTGTCTAACTTGGATGGGTCTGTCAGGCTCTCATAATATATCTTATCCAAGGCATTGGAAATATTGCTGATCAATTCCTTAAGGAAAATTGCCTTGTTGGAATAGAAGATATTGATGATGAGAGATGTGAGTTGGGCCATTTCTCCTCCTCTCCATGGTGCATTTCCTCAGGCAGCTTGGAGGTGAAGAGATGCAAGTACTAGGGAGCAGGGTGGGCAGGGACTGTGTTTTGCTCACACACTACAAGAAGAGTACACGAGGGTGACTCAGAGCAGCTTAAACAAATCTTAACTGTGTCTCTGAACTTAAAGTCACATAAGTCTCACGTGAAACCCAAATAATTCTGACTAATGAAATCTTCTATTGCCTTGTAATAGACTTCTGGCTATTTATACAGCCTGGCTGTTTTCTTTTTCCTATCTGTTGATCCTATTGCTTTGTCTTTTGTCTTCAAAGTAATAAAAACATTACTTATTTTTATTCTATTAGTGAATGCCTATCTGTTTAAGACTTTGAACACCTAATTCTCTTGCAGTGTAATTATCCATTTTAGAATGAATCATTGATTCTGCGTCATGGGATGAGCAATTTGTACGCTGTATTTCCTTTCCTTCACATCCCACAACTCTCACATTTTGCAGAATAATCTTGAGTTTTACAACCAGATGATTAGTATTAATTTAATTGCTGCATTATGTATTTAACATCTGTTTATATCCATTTTAGCAATTGTTTGGAAATCAACTCTCAAATTTTACTGTTCCTATGGCCACATGTTTTAATCATATCTGAGTCATTATATTTATTCAGTTCTCAGGTGGCCTGAGTATTTCCTAAATAATGTTTTTTTTTAGAAAAGATATTTAGGTTCTTTATATCATGAGTCCTTAGAAGCATATGAATAGTGTCTCCCCTCTTGTAAGTCATACTGGTTAGGATGATATTTGGTTATATCTAATAACAACAAAAAAACACCCAAATGAGAAATGGCTTAAAATATATTAAAATTTATTTCTCATATAAGAGAAGTCTGAGCATAGGATGTCCAGACCTCACCTGATAGAGCCATGAATGTTGTTGGTGACCCAGTTTGATGCGTTTCCTCGCTGCAGCAGTTATCATATTCATGATCTCAGCTGGTTGCTCCAGTGCCAGTCATCATATCCATTTTCCAAGCAGGAAAATGAATGAAAAAAGAGATGGGAAATGATGTTGTACTTCCATTTCTAGGAAAATTTACACATTGTCGGTCACATTTCACTGGATCAACAAGAAGAAAATAGTCACAATTGCAAGGAAAAAATTATAATGTGTTTGACTAAAATTGAAGGAGAGAATATACATTTGAAGTCACATACAAGTTCTGCTCACACATTTGAGCAATACCTTTAATGAACATATAGAATTCGTGGGTTATAAATATTCTTTCTAAAATCTCTGTCAATATCGCTCCATTGTCTACCTTTTTTAAAAAGAAAAGAAATTGTCCAAATTTTCTCTTTTGTAGGTAATATTTTTCTTGTGCTTCTTCACAATGGATGCTTGTTTAATTTGTTCTTTTTCTTTGAAATTATTTTTTAAAAATACACACAACATGTTTATATACATATTTTTTATTAACTTATTTGGTATTCAGTGGTCCTTTTAATGTTAAAATTACAATCTTTATTTCCTCTCAGAAAAGTTTTCTTTTTCTATTCCTTTTTTTTTGGTTTTTGTTTCTCTTTCATTTGCTCTGATTTTATTTTCTGGAATTTTGTATTATTAATATATTGGCTTTCTTAGAGTTCTATCCTCAGTAAGATTTTTTTTCTCCCTTATCTTTTTTATTTTCTTCTGAGAGAATTTCTTTAGCTTATTTTCTAAGTCCCTACTTGAGATTGTCACTTATAATATATTTCATTTGTCTGAGGTTTGCTTTGTAAAATTTAGTAATGATGTTTTTCCCCAGGAATATGAGTTCCTAATCTCATATTGCTCCATGTTGGTATATACAATGTTTCTCCAATTATCCGGTAAATAAGAGAAGGAAGAACTATGGGTTTCTTTCCTCTTTTATGAAGTCCATTTCAGAGGATTGCATTTGTACTGATTCTTCTGCACTACCTTCTGTTAGCCTACTGAGTCCTTTCACACACCTGGTGATTTTGCTCCGCATGTTCTTAAACAAGAGGTCTATGCTTGCCTAGTAATATGACTTGTGGTTTATTTTGGGGGGGTTATGCAAAAAAGGAGGAGGATGCTTATATTTTCTGTGGTTTGATTGTGGTAGACTGGGGATCCAGATGGCCACAAGGCACAGGGAAGGATGTGGTTTTGCTTGTCTAGCAGGTCCTGTCCAGCCACTAAAGCAGGTGACTGGTTCCTGGCCCACTCCAGCCTGTAAGGTAGCCAAGAATTAGTTGTGAAATGCGTTTTCAAATGGGAAGGTAAAAGTTACTAGGAAGCTAAGCCTTGAGGAAAATTCTTTACTATTGCAGTTGGTGGTGGTTGCTTCTCCATGTTTGTTGTATGTCAAGAGAGGTTTAAAGGAATCTGCTGTGACTAGTCACTTGAGTACAAAGAGCTCAGACATAGTATTCACCTCCATATCATCTAGCTAGCTGACTCTCACTTCCATTCCTTATTATCCCAAGCTTAGGTTTTTATTTTCCGGGTCTTGGGATGAGAAAAGCTACCCACCTACCTAATAGACAGACCTCCCCTGTGCCTCCATCTGCTTGATATTTGTCAACAATTTTTCAAAGAGCCTCAACCTTTGATGGAAACCCTATGCTTCCAAGTCATGATAAATATATTCTTATTTTTAGACTCCTTGTGTAATGATATTTAGTAAGAAGAAGGGAATGCATGAGCCCAAATAACCATTTTGAATCTTAAAATGTGAATTTTTAGCCACACCATTGTATAAAGGCCAATTTTCCAAACCACAAATATGGCTTATAATGTTTCTACTGATCACAGTATGTGCTGATGTAGGATAAAATATCTTAATTACTTTGAGAGAAATAAACTTGTTTTAGTTTTTAATGTTGGTAAACCTTATGCACATATGAATTTTTTAAAGCTGAAATTATGTTAACTTTATCTAAAAACCAGGTTTAGTACAATTTAGGGAGGACTAAATTGATAAAAAGGATACACCTCAAGTATTTCAGGGTTTTTTTTATTACAGAATTGTGTGCTTGATATTTTTCCAGAGTGTATAAAAATTGTCAACTAAATCAAACTCTAAAAATTCCAGTGGTCTCCCAGACTCAAAGGCCTGTGGGGCAAAGTTTTATCTTTAATTAAATATTGGTAATACCTACTTGACAGATTAAAAGCCATTTTTATCTGGTTAACTTGATTAACTATATCATAATATGTTTTTAAGAAAAAATATTAAGCCCATGCATACAATCTTCCATAACTGTAACATGCCCTCACAGAGGTGCATCCCACCTGCTGTCTTCGCTTATAGTCAGTGGGAGCTGCTGAAATCGCCAAAACTGGCCACCAGAATCCCAGATGCAGTCACTGGGTGAATCCATCTGGTTCTAGTGAGCAATAAAGGACAGGATTCTTTCATTTCAAACTTTCAGAAAGTTAAAAATTATTTTTTAAAAAGATTCATTGTGAAGAACTTTACCCATATTAAACACACACACACACACACACACACACACACACACACTCATCAATGAAGTTTGCTAAATTATTAACCTAAAGTAAAAATAAACATGAAAGGTTGTGCTATACAATGGTAATTACAATGCCTTTCTCTCAACATAATGGTGGTGGTGGTAGTAATAATGATGATGATGATGATGATGATGATGATGATGATGATAGAAGTTATTATGGCCTCTGTGTTGAATTTTCTTTTCCATTCAGCATCCATTCACCACATGCCTTTTTACAGCTCTGGATTTTTTATTTGAACATCCCTACCCTATTGTGCTTGGGCATCCCTGCCTTAAAATTAGTCCACTCCCTAGTCCCAGGTATAATAGGTTGCATAATCCAAAATCCAGGTCACAGGACCAATTTCTGGTCCTATGATTTTTGTAGGGGTGCAGACATTAGGTGGTGAAATTACAGAGAATGTAGGGGTTCTTCCAGAGCTACTAGGAGAGGGTGACTCCCTTTTAATGAATCCAGGATCGCTGAAGCTACAGAAGTATCTGGATGCTGCCTTGAGGAAGAAGTTTACATGAGAATGGATTCAGAAAGAAGGAAGTAGAGCCAAGAGATTAAGATAGAGAAAAGAACTTTAAGTGACTTGGAGGAGTTAAAGCAGCTAGGCAGTTAGGAGCTGGACTGAGGGGTGGGAGGGGAGAGGTGAGGAATGTAAAAGGGAGGTGCAACTGAAGCCTGCCAGTGTGAGCAGAAACCAGTTCATCAGCCCCACCCTGGCCCGTGTAAAATCCCAAGAACAAAGGGCCATGATCCAGGGCTGAATACACAGGATGAGGAAAATGAGCGGGAACCCTGAAGTTTAAAATGTATGGATGTTGTTAGACCCGAATTTTTTGAAACGAACCAATGGGAAGTTAGTAGAGCACATAGTAACCCCTAAACCCAGATCCTGTCAGAGGTATACCTTTATAAGTAGCAAGACTTATGGGACTGCTATACATTTATACGTAGGAAGACTTATGGGAAAGCTCCTATATCAGGGAGCTTTTCTGTAATAAAACTTTGCTTTTGCTCATCTCTTTGTGAACTCATTCTTTGATTTCATGAGACAACAAACTCTAACCCAAACAGAAATTTTGATATCGTCTTCATTTAAACTCTGAACCAAGTCTTTCCTGAAGCCATTCCTACTCCTGGACTTCTCAGGCCATTCTTCCCAGTCAGCTCACACTCTTTCTCCCTTGCCCACTCCTCTGTAGCAATACATTTGTTTTGAAGAGGCCACTCTAATTCTTACTCAGGACATTGCATTTTCTGTTTCCTCTGCCTGGAATACCACCCCCGCCCCTCCCCCCCCCCCCCCCCATACACACACAGCTATTCTCCTTACTCCCACCTTCACTGTCTTCAAATCTCTGCTCAAATACCATTCCTAAGAGAAACCCACCTGATACTTTTCTAAAGAAGTGCATCTGGCCATTTGCCAGCTTCCACCTGCCAAAGTTTCCTCACTGAACAG